GACTCATGGACAACACACTGCGTGGACTGAAGTGGTCTGCGTGTCTATGCTACCTCGACGATATTGTCGTTTTCTCTCCCGATTTTCCTACACATCTGCGTCGGCTCCAACTGGTTCTGACGTGTTTAACCAACGCTGGGCTCCAACTGAACCTTAAAAAGTGCCGCTTCGCCGCGCGAGAGCTGTCCATCTTAGGGCACGTCGTGTCCAAGCATGGTGTTCGACCCGACCCTGCAAAATTGCGAGCAGTCGCTGAGTTCCGGAAACCTACTACACTGAAAGAATTACGCAGTTTTGTCGGACTATGCTCGTACTTCCAGCGCTTCGTGCGAAATTTTGCGTCGGTCATGTCACCACTGACCAACCTCCTACGCGGTGATGCAGACCTTTCATCCTGGTCTTCTGACAGCGACGTCGTGTTTGCCACGCTCCGTAGTCTGCTAACATCTCCTCCAATTCTTCGGCATTTCGACCCAACAGCTGCAACGGAAGTTCACACAGACGCTAGTGGGGTTGGTCTAGGCGCCGTCCTCGCCCAACGCAAGCCGGGCTACTCCGAATACGTTGTCGCTTATGCGAGTCGCACACTTACTAAAGCTGAGGCCAATTACAATGTCACTGAAAAAGAATGCTTGGCGCTAGTGTGGGCGCTTCGCAAGTTCCGCCCTTATTTGTACGGTCACCCATTCGACTTGGTAACGGACCACCATGCACTTTGTTGGCTCGCCACTTTGAAAGATCCTTCTGGCCGCCTAGCTCGGTGGGCACTGCAAATCCAGGAGTACGACATTCGTGTCATCTATCGCAGCGGACGCAAGAATTCTGACGCCGACGCCCTGTCGCGTTCGCCTTTACCTCCCGACTCGGCCTGCGGAACCACTGGTACCAACTCCGTCGCATCTCGCGACCTCGACTCCTTTACCAGTGAACAACACAAGGACCCGTGGATCGCTTCCCTTTTTAACTGTCTCTCTGGATCGTCAACCACTGCGGTACCACGATCTCTCCGACGTCAAGATGCACATTTCGCCATTCGTGATCGGCTGCTACACCGACGCAACTACGCCCCCGAAGGTCGTAAGTGGCTCTTGGTTGTCCCGCGCAGCTTGCGATCACAAATCTGCGCCTCCTTTCACGACGATCCCCAATGTGGTCATGCCGGAGTTTTCAAAACTTACGAACGCATTCGCCATCGCTTCTACTGGCGCGGAATGTATAATTTCGTTCGAAATTTCGTTATGGGCTGCCCTGACTGTCAACGCCGCAAATCACCGCCTTTCCACACGTCCGGTGCGCTTCAACCGCTTCCGTGCCCTGCCAAACCTTTCGATCGGATCGGAATCGATCTCTATGGCCCTCTACCGACAACATCAGATGAAAATCGGTGAATCATAGTCGCTGTGGACCATTTAACACGCTACGCTGAGACCGCCGCCCTTCCAAGTGCCACTGCGCGGGACGTAGCATCCTTCATCCTTCATCGCTTCATACTACGACATGGTGCACCTCGAGAACTACTAAGCGACCGAGGTCGAGCCTTCCTATCAGAAGTCGTCACGTCTCTGCTTTCTGAATGCCACGTTGTTCATCGCAAGACCACGACATACTACCTGCAGACTAACGGGCTCACGGAAAGATTTAACCGCACCCTTGGCGATATGCTCGCCATGTATGTGACATCCGATCATACTAACTGGGATCGCATTCTTCCATTCATCACGTTCGCATATAACACCGCGACACAGTCTACCACTGGATTTTCACCTTTCTTTCTTCTTTATGGACGCGAACCATCTCACACCATCGACACTCTCCTTCCATACCGTCCTGACGCATCCGATTGCCCATCTGTGTCCGAAGCTGCCCGAAATGCGGAAGAGTGCCGTGAACTCGCACGCACCTTTACGTCACAAGAACAACAGCGCCAGAAAGAAAACAACGCCGACTCTTCACAAAGCCCCAGCTATTCCCCGGGATCACTTGTATGGCTGGCTGTTCCTTACCAAACCTCCGGCATTTCCTCAAAACTCGTTCCAAAGTACGAGGGCCCATACCGCGTTTTGGAGCAAACCTCGCCGGTGAATTTTCTCATCGAGCCACTTTCCCCATCTGACGACATGCGCCGGCGTGGACGTGACATCGTCCACGTCGCCCGCCTTAAGCCATATCATAGCCCTCTGCCTCCAGACTCTTAGGTCGCCAGGATGGCTCTTTTTTTGGCGGGGGCAAATTGTGAAGAAGAAAACGCATTGTTGGCAAGCAACAACGCCACCGCTTGGGTACTGGGTGCTGGGCTTCGCTCGCTCGGCTCGTGCTGATCGCCAGCATCTGCTTGACCGTTGCTCTTGTCCGATCGTGTTTCGTCGTAGGACCACCGTCGCAACAGTCGCCAATAAACCCTTTTTCAATATATATATATATATATATATATATATATATATATATATATATATATATATATATATATATATATATATATATATATATATATATATATATATATATATATATATATATATATATATATATATATATATATATACATATATATATATATATATGCGCGTCCTTTCTGCTGCAGTATTGTCAGTATGACGTGGCACAGCTTCCTTAAACCAATCAAATCAGTTGAAGTAGGCTTGAGAGAAAAAAAGCTTGTGTTTACTCGAGACTGCTATTCACATGTAAGCTCGACAAAAAATTAATGAGAATTCCATTTCTTGAACATTTCTTAATGTCGTTCCGAATTGATGTTTCTCTTATGCATTGAAAGGCCACTTGTGAAGAGCAACCTTATCACTATGTGCTTCAGCCTGTTTGAAGTACTTATTCATGCAAAGCTTAAATGGCGACAGTTAAGCTTTCCTTCTTTTTCGTTGATCTCCTTGATATGAATTGAAGTCCCGTCAAGGAGATGATCGGCGTCGATGAAGCAGGAGGCAGGTTGGAGGTAATGAAAACTTGAAGGTATATTACAGCGAAATATTTACAGTCATATGTACATCTTGCCGAAGCACACTCATGATAACACAGACATCAACAGCGTCTTACTCTTCTACTTAACTTTTCTTAAGTTAGAGCCTAGAACACTGTTACTACATACAACGTACTTAGTCTCACTGTTCGACCACCAAGTGGTTACGGCCCAGACAAAAGTTGCAACGTACGGAGTCGTACTGATCTATCAGTTAAGTGATTGCAGCCTCGACTGAAGAGAAACGGATTCCCTCCAGTCTTAAGCATCTTGCGGTAACAAAGAAAAAGGGGAGGTGGCCACTGCTGGTCCGCCTCAACATTCTCTCATCCAATCTGTTTCCACTCAGATTAAGTCACTCCCTACTGGGCTGACCTTACTCTCGACAGCAGCGCTTCTACAGTTTAAACAGGCATTTTGGTACTCTTTCCCATCATGTCTCTCTCTATCCACCTCCCAAGCGCTCAGGAATTCTCTCGCAAGGGAGATATCGGCATTGTAGACCCGGTACATTCATGCCTTTTCCCACACCCAGCGAGCCGAGACGAACCTCCAAAGCCGGAAATTGAATGATTGCACGCGGAACGTAATTGCCCCCGCAGGTAGCAATCGGCCTTTGACTTTCTCCGCTTTCCTTGTGTTCGGGTCGTGCATCGCTGCGACTTTGAGCCGATCGCCAGGGCAAAGCGTGTCGCCTACTCCCACTGAGCTCGCGCCCGGCGGAGGCAGGACGGGGTCGCTTAATCCCATTGTACGTTTGCCCCCGGCAGCAGCGACTTGTCTCTAAACCACAAACATTCCAAGCCGGTTGGCAGAGCGGGTTCGTTTCACATTGTGTGTTTGTCCCCGGCAGAGGAGGAGACGGACGTAGTTTGCATTCCAGAGGATAAGTGGTGTACAGTTAGACGGGCATACCGAGAGAGAGTCGAGAAAGAAGCTTTGTATAACGTAGCTTCCCGCGCTGTCGTCCCATGCTCAAAGGAAGCAATTTGCGACCTTGCCGAGAGAGATCCCAGAAAGAAGCTTTGAATAACGTAGCTTCTGGTGCTGTCCCATCCGCACGATCAACTTATGAGCGGCAAAACATAACACGTCCCCCCTAAAGAGTATACTGGGCTGTCTTACGCTCAGTGATACGATAAAAAAAGCTGAAGATAAAACTATCAGCGCCAGAGCCATTTTTTCTCTCTTTTTCAGCTGGTGTTGTTTCGTTTCATTCAGATAAGCGAAATCGGTGGTTGAGATTGTATAAAATATTTGTTTGTATGTGTCAGTATAACATTAAATTTAGTGAGTATAGATATAATTCTTGTAAGTGAATACTGAGATATGAACGGCTCAATGCTATATTAGGTAGAGTGATGGGTTAGTGAAACCTATTTGATGGGTTGGTGAAACTTATTTGATGGTTTACTGAAACGAAGAGATGCAAAGCAAACTGGGCACTAAGTTATCTGTAAAAAATAGTTAGCTTAGTCTGTGAGAGTTGCATTCATCATCATCGTCGTCGTCGTCATTGTCGTCGTCGTCATCATCATCAACAGCAGCAGCCTGACGACGCCCACTACAGGGCAAAGGCCTGTCACATGATCCACCAATCAGACGTAATCACAGACAACTGTGATTACGTCTATACGTAGATGTCCTCACCCGTAACAGCTCACGCAGCTGACGTGGGCAGTTTCATTGATTGCACAGAATACCACGGGCATATACGGTAAGATGTCACCCTTGATGCCCACTGGTAATGCTGGTAGCCTTCAATCGAAATGGTTGCGAAAATCTTCCTTCTGAGAGGCACATTCCCGACGAATTGAATGTAACTGCTGCAATCTCGCTTATGGTTCGGTTTCACTCGACCAAGTGTCCAGTGATATCCGACAAAAGTTCTGCTCGGCAGATAAAAAAACAAATGGAAGTGTGTTTCAGCTTGGGTGTAATGTGCACCGCAGAACTTTCCACTGAAGATAATGCTTGATCTTTCAGAAGGCGGGAATAGGTCAAACAGTAATACACAAAAACGTTCTTCATTATGAAAGAAAGCAATTTTATTACATGTCGAAATATTTGTTTCCTGTGGTCCGTAAACTCGTCACTGCGTATCTTTGTTCGCACAAGTCCAGAAGTCTTGATGTCCACTCTTGAAATGTTTGCAAATGCAGTGAGGACCACAATCTATCCATACATGTGTTTGGGTACAATTCTAAAAAAAAGAGAAAAAAATGTGCGTGAGTCGTGCTGTTAGCGTAGCTCATGTACCACTCATCTGTTTATGTATTTTTTTAACTTTGAAGTCACACAAGTGGTAATTTTTACGCCTCTCGAAATTCGCATTTCATCTGCAGCGTGGTAATATTTTCACACATTTATGGCCCGATGTTGCGCGTAACTTTTTTGTTAAATGTGTATTAGCGAAAAATCGACTACTGAGTATATCTCAAGAGAAAAGCACACGTTCACACTGACTTGTTATTCTAATGAATACAAGTCCCCAACCCACCGATGTTTTATATCTGAGTAATGACGTTTCTTACAAAAAGTGAAATAATGCAGTGATCAAGCGCTATAACTCACTTGACTACAATTTGCTTATCAAGGACTCTTGGTGCCTTTCTAGGTAGCCGATTATTTGTAAGCCCATCCATCCATCTATCTGCATGCATGCCCCGCCTGTCGTTTCGTCAAGCCATGCAGCCAGATCGTACGTCAGTTGGGTGTTGATCTCGGCAGATTATACCGTGATAGAATTTAGATGGACACTCTCTTCAGGTTTTCGCTGTCACCGTCATGTTCCATATAAAGTCTAAACCAACACCAACACCCCGCACACCGTATCTTTTACATATTACACAGGAGTAAAAGCAAGCCAGTAAGAGCTACGAACAGAAGGCAAATGAGATAACATCGTCGTCACTATGTCACCGCTGTAGTGGGAGGCAGAAGTAAAAGGATCTTGCAACATTGGAACACGAAGACCAACTGATTGATCCCACGGCGAATGCACGCCTTCTCGTGCATACGTCAACTTTGTTGTCGTTGCGTCGATACGCAGGCACGCAGCAACATCAACGCACGTGCAAGGCTTGCCGTTGACTGCTCTTCAAGCAGACGCAAAACACCCCACGCATTCTTCGTCTAGCGAAGGAGCATGCACAAGTTAGATGTAACCGGTAGCGAAGGTTCCTCAAAAGCCTATACGTTCCGTTAATGGCGGTTGATCGGCTGCTTTTGGGGATTAGCGCCATCTCTGTGAGGGCAGAATACTTCCGGTGGAGATGCGGAATAAAAAATACAGCGGATGTGACGCAATAGTTCGTAGACAAGTGACGTCATTTTGTTGGCGCTAGCGTGAAATTTGATCTCAAGTTGCTTTTCATGGGCCCCTGATAGCTAAGAACTTGCGCTAAGGCGATCAGCTGGGAGTCCTCCACGAGTGCGCTTCAAGTACCACCAGCTAAGGTAATAAGGACTCATTACTAGAGAGTGATGTTTAGGTGTACTACCGTTAGGTTTGCTTTGGTTTTACAAGGAAACAATCGCGGAACTTCTATGCAGTGTTCATGGCACCTTCAGCAGACAGATTAAAGCAACGAATGGCGTACTTGTCATATTTGCACCGTAGCTTATAAACACGATAGCTTTAAAGAACTTGTTTCGCAGAAATTCCAGCGTCGGCATCGTTGGTTGTGAGCGAATAACAATCTTGTGCGTGACCGAAAAATCGAAAGATATGGAAATCGAATAAAATATTAGGGCACCCTAAAGCTTCGCCTTCAGAAGTTGAATGCGATAGCGATATCCTCTTTCTAGTACGTACTTCAAACCTTTGGTGCATGGAACCTTTTCGAACTTGCTAAGCACCAACTACGTGGCCTTAAGAGAATAGGCAAAGTAGCGTGCGCGTCTTTTGTAGTGGTTGACCTGCTTCAAACTACAAAGCCATCATGATAAACACATGTTCTGACACCCGCTGGCCATTGGCCCTTGTATCACGCATTATTGCTGCAAGTTTTCATGGGGCATCGTGAAGCATGCGTGCATATAAGACTCGTGAGTTTGTAAAGCATGAAAGACTCGCTCTCTGGATTGCGTGCCGACTGGTTGTGCCCCCGCGATCTCCGACGACAGCGCAGCTATGGTCAACTGGGCTCGCCCTATACGCCATTTCCTGACGCCGACAAGAGCTCTCGCTGAGTGGGGACCCGTCCTCGTGGGGTCCCGTACTCGGATTCCTGCGACCGTGTCCATCTTTCCTATCTCCTCCTTACTTCCGTCGTTTTCTGTAGTTCACTGTCCCTGCCCTTCACTCTCTCCTACTCCCTCTTTCTCTTTACCGTTTAAACCTATCTTTGTATTCCCTCCTTACCCCCATCCCTCGTGGGCTACTGTTGAGGTGTCGCAATTTGATGCAGACAATTACGGGGCTCGCATTTCTCTACTTTTCTCTTTAAGAATCACATGCGAAGAAGCATGAAAGCTACTTTCACTGAATTTCCAGCAGATGAAGTTCTTTTCGGCGTCTTCACAATCAGATGCATGGCAATGCAAACCGTACCTCTCGAGAACATTGATAGGTGATTCGAAACTGTGGTACTTGATGCAGGTGTTGCATTGTTCACGGGCCAATATACAGAAACTCCATCGTGTCTTCGTGGTGTTCGTGTGGGCCTCAAGTTGGGAAAAATTCAGTTGAACCACTTTATTTAAGCGTGTAAAGAAAGGTGGTTCGGGACTACCACACCTATTCTTAAAGCGACTCATAAACAGGTTCTTTTTTTTCTTTTTTTTTAACTTGAGTGATCTATTTCTGCATCTTGTCTATGTCGCCTAGAAGATCTTGGCTCATACCCTCAAGGGGGATTGGCCAAACTGTACCTTATAATGTAACTTTTTTTACACAACGCTTGCTAAAAATTCCTACGTACGGAGAGGTTCACGAGAGCTGTACCTGGATACGTAGTGGGCACAAACCACATGAATGGCGCTGTCCGCGGATATCTCAAGGAGGCGACCTTAAGTATCCGCTTTGTGTCTGTCAGATTTTCTAATGAGTACTTGTTTTCAGCGTCACGCAAAAAGCTGTGCAGAGGTGTTTGTGATACTTTACCCGTTCCAATGTACAGGGCCATATACAGTGGAGGTCAAGGGCGGCACGTGCTAAAAAGAATTAAAATAATGCAAGTGGCTCCTGCCACAAAGACCTTTTTTAGGCTTCAAACCGGCACGTTGAACGTCAAGGTATTTCTAGAAGAGCGATGTGTCTTTCTACCTAAAGGGTCAGGCTGTCTCGTTCGTAAGAAGCCAGAAACTATTGACCATCGTTTTTCTTAAATGCGAAGCATTTCTTAGCAAACTTCAGCGACTTTGCGCGTATCTATCTATCTATCTATCTATCTATCTATCTATCTATCTATCTATCTATCTATCTATCTATCTATCTATCTATCTATCTATTGTGAGCGCCCGCATGCGCACTATAGCGTAGCGGCCTATCTAATCGGCAGCGCCACCTGCGGCGCCTTTACTCAGATAAACTCCAAGCCCAAGCGAGGGCCGGGGACTCGTTTGATCAATCTCGCTCCCGCCTCCGGGGCGGTCGGCACGTTTTCATGTTCGAATAAAGCGCATTCTTCTCGTTCACAACGCCTCTCAGCCTTCATGCCTAGCCCGCCCAGCCCTCACAACTGGCGCAGTCGACTCCGAACCATGCCTGGAACGTCGCCTTTTGCCCGCCTCGTGAAGTGATCCGCCGGACTAGCCGCGCGGCGCTCCGTCCTGTGTTTACCGTCCGCCGCCCGATACGCCTTTCGGCCGCTTCGTCCGAGTCATTTCGTGCCTTTGCCTTTTGTTTCGCCGACCGTCGTGCTGACGCCCACCCGCCCGATGAAGTAGCTCGCCTGCAGAGCCGAACCAACTTGACCTGCCCGCCTTTTTTCGTCTCTCGTGAGTCTTGTGCTCCTTCTGCTAATTTCTTGTGAACGCCATGCCGCTTGTGAACTGGAACGAGGCTACGCCTGAGGACCTCGCCGGCTTTACAGCAGACTTCCTCCGTGAAGAGTTGGTTCGCCGAAACCTGGACGCTACGGGGCCGAAGGAAGAAGTGATCAATCGTCTCCTCGCCGATATAGCCCAAAACCGCTCAATGACGCCTTTGTCGCCTTCCCCAGATTCCTCAGCGTCCAGCCAGCGCCCGAACACTACGCCGCTTCCTTCGAGCTTCGATGCAGCCCAAAGTACCGAGTTGCTGACGGGTTTACTTCAACAGCTCCTTCAAGTGTCACAACGCGCTGCAGCGCCAGTTCAGGTCACGACCCTTCCAGACCTGTCCGCATCGCTTCCTACATTTAATGGAGACGGCAGCATTTCAGCGTCCCACTGGATTGAAGAGTTGGAACGAACTCGAAACCTAGCTTCGTGGGAGCCTTCAACCGTACTCGCCGTCGCTCTGGGAAAGCTCCGTGGAGCAGCCGCGGATTGGAAAGCAGTCATTGGCCGTCAGTGTCCCACCTGGGACGCCTTCAGGCAAGCTTTCTTGGATCAATTCAGCGCCAAGCAAACCTTACTACAGTGGCAACAAGCTGTTACTTGTCGCGTGCAAGCGCACGGAGAGAACCTGGTCCACTATTCTTTGGCGAAGTTGAAGCTCATTTCGGGATGCCCAGTCACTCTTACCGACACTCAGCGCATAGAGTACGCCCTTCAGGGCATTTCCGACGAGAACCTGGCCACTACTATAGCAGCACAACGGCCAGAAACCGTCGCCGCCTATATGGACATCGTAACGCAGCTTGACCAAACATTGAGCCACTTGTCTCGTCGACTCCCACGCCCAGGGTATTCAAGCACCAAACTAGTAATGCCAAGCCCACAGGTGCCCCACCACAGTGAAGAGGGCACGAATGTTCAGGCGGTACCAGACAAAACAAGACAGCCGCAGCGAATCGCAGCCCTACCACCAGACCAACAAGAGGCTCGGTACCTGACCATCTCTACGAGGCACGGCGCTCCTGCCTACCGTTCTGGCCAGAACTTGGCCGAAGCCGTGTGTTTTCAATGCCGCCAAAAAGGACATCTAGCTTCAAAGTGCCCATCCAGAGCTACTGCCACACAGTCTACAACGCATCCTTCGCCAGCTCTTCACAGCACACTTTCCGAGACCCTTGATGGATCGCTGGTCCAATGCGCCCTTGTAAACGCCACAAT